AAGAAGTCTGTGGTGCTAGGGAGAAAAGTCCAATTGGAATTAATGATTGGTACTCTCATCTTTGCCAGTGGTACCTTACTGAGAAGACAGCCCTAGGGAGTCAGAAGTAATCATAGTATCCTGATAATAATTCAGTCCAGTGAATTACACCAGGTGAGGTGAGACTAGACAAATTTTCCTTAATAGAGGGGAATGGAAGGATGAGAGCAGGAACAGAAGCTGCTTGAGTACCCATTGTGTACTAGACAACCAGATACATTATCTTCCTTCCAAATCGAGTATAACTTAGCAAATTTTATAGTAGGAAAAGCACAGCTCTAAAGAGCTGAAGCTGTTTGCATAAGATGACATTGCCAGTGGGTGGTGGAACTTAGATTCATAATGCTGACCTGATTTTGACACCCATAACACCAGGTATTCAAAAAGGACTAAAGCCAACAACATTTATGCAGTGGGTAGCATTTACTCACTTCTGGAAGACTGTGTTAAGGCATTTCTCATTCCTAAGGTTGCCTGAGCTTGTTAGCATCCCCTCTCACTGTGTGATCCTATCCAGTCCCATAAGTTGGAGCATTTCCTTAACTGTGTTGCTTCTAAATAGAAACTGTCCTTTATAACTTAGGAAGAGAATAGCTTTTTGGTGATGTAGGAGATTGAACCTATGGCCTCACCACACTCTAGGCAAGTGCTCTACCACTGAGCTTTATCCCCCAACAATAGTATATCTTCTAAGGTCAGTTACAAAGTAGGAAAATAAAATTGAAAGAGGCAAGAACACTCATTTGCATGAGTTTCTCTGCCTGGTTATTATTTATACTGTACAGATGAAAAGGGTCAGTACCAAGTTTTGCTTATAAGGTGATTTGGCAATTTGCAGACTGCCATAATAGAGATTAGAAGACCAGCATTAAAGCTTTAAGTTCGTTGCCAGGATCCTGCATTACATGTCTGTGTTCTGTTTCTTTTACTTGTAAAATGAGAGAAATGGAAAGTTTATCTGTCTTTTGAAGGAGATTGACCCAAGGCCTAATACAGTTGGTAAATGTCCCTTTCTAAGACTGGACAGGGGTCAGCCACTGTCATAAATAAGGCCATTTCCTGCATGTATTCTTCCAGCAGTCACTATCCCAGAGTTAACAGTATTGTCAACATTACTTTTTAGGGGTTTCAAGCGATTGGTATGCAACACTTGATATGCTGAAGGAAAGCTGTCGAATTGCCAGCAGTGTTAACTGGTCAGATGTAGACCTTTCACAGTTCCAAGGTAAGGGTTGATTCCTTTCACATAGAACCTCTTTTCTCTGAAACATTGTTTCTTTGTTGTTGAAATCAACATCTCCTCCCAGGTATGTTGGTATGTGCCTGCTCTCCCAGCACTTGGTAAGCTGAGGTAGGAGGATCGCTGAAAGTGAGTCCATCTATGGACTACATAGCAAGTAGTCCTCTAGCAGGGACACATAACAAGATTCTGTCTCAAAGAAAGAAGAAGCACCATCTTATATAAAGGCATGGCTTGTGCAGTGGCAGTGTTGTTAAAGGACATTTGTAAAAACTTATAATAAATTGACATTACATACAAGAGTTCTGCAGGAATATTAGCCATGTTAAAAAAATCAGGTTTTGCCTCATCCCTCTCCTTTTGCTTGTGTGTTTGCATGTTTGTGTGTGCAGTTACTTTTTGAGGCCGTAGGACAGTCATGAGTGTTGCTCCCCAGTTACTATCACCTTTTACTTTTTCCCCCATTTATTATCGTATGTGTCTGGTATGTGTATAAGGTGGGCCAGCACATACATGCATACATGTGCACAAGGTGCATGTGTATAGATCAGAGGATGATTCTTGTGAATCAATTCTGTCCTTCTACCATTGGCTCTTAAGATTGAATCCAGGTCAGCAGGCTTGCACAACAAGCCTTTTTACCCCCTGAGCCTTTGTAGCAAGCTTTCTCATTGGACTTTGTTTGGACCGCCAGCCCCCAAATAATAACATGGAGAGTTACTGTTAGTTATGAATCCTTGGCCTTAGCTTAGGTTTGTTCCCAACTAGCTCTTATAACTTAAATGAACCCATTTATATTAATCTATGTGGCTCGTTACCTGTCCTCCATCCTGTTTTCATACTCCTCAGATTCTTAAGTTCCTCTTTCTCCCTGGAAATCCTGCCTATTCTCTACTGCCTAGGCTGTTGGCCATTCAGCTTTTTATTAAACAATCAGAAGGCACCCTAGGCAGGGGCACATCTTCACAGTATACAAAAAGATTATCCTATAACAAACTATCTCTTTGGCCTAATTTATGTATGTGTGGTATATGTGGGTGTGCTTGCACATGTGCAGAGCAGGGGTTGGTAGCTTTCCTCTGTTGCTTCTCCACCTTATTTTTGAGGCCAAGTGTCTCTCTGAACCTGAAGCTCACTGTTTTAACTGGAGTGGCTGGCCTCTCATGATCTGGCTCTTGTGTTGTGACCGTCATGTTTTTTTTCTCTCCCCTATTCGTGTTCTCTCTGCTGCTCCCACCCTCAGCTTCTTTCTCTGTGCTTGGATTGTAGGCATGTGCTTTTAGTCAGGTTCTGGGGATCCAAACCCAGGCCCTCATACAGCTCTGCCCCCTTTTTTAGACAAGGTCTCTCATTGGCCTGAGCTTACCAGGTAGGCTAGGCTGGCCGGCCAGTGAGTTCCAGGGACCTGTTTTCACTTCCCCAAACACCAAGATTACAAGGATGCCACCAGATCTGGCCCTTTTTTTAAAAAATGCAGGTTTTGAGGCTTGAATCCAGGTCTGAGTGCTTCAAGCCTAGTACTTTGAGTCCCTTGGGTATTCTTAAATATCATAAACTGCCACATCAGAGGAACTGAGTGTGTGGAGACTGGGGGTTGAGAAGACTTACATTGCTGCTCCCTTGAAGTATTAGAGTTGTGCTCACTGTATCCCGCATCTTTCCTTGTAGGTCTGATGGAGAGTATGAGGCAGGCGGATCTCAAGAACTGGTCATTAGATCAGGTTCAGTTTGCTGATCTCTGTTCCTCTCTTAATCAGTTCTTCACACAGACTGGCCTTATCCACTCACAGAGCAATGTTCAGCAGAACGTGTGCCATGGTGCCATGCACCCAGCGAAGCCTTCCCAACACATTGGGGCAGGTATGGGCTTATATACACTTGCATAAATGCACTGTCCTAGGGAACAGTCATGTGACGTGTCACTCAGGGTGATGTTGATCCATCTACATTGTGTTGTTTGTAAGAAATGAGTGATGGCAAATGATTTAAGTGTGTCTTTGAAAATATGAGGTAAAAGACTATTCTGTTGTGATTTGTGTGAATTATTTACTATTATCCTTTAACATTTTTAACTTTTTATTGTTATTAAACAAGTCTCTAAAAGATACTTGTTTTAAAAAACATAGTTATGAAATTATTTCACTTTAAGTTTGTGTAGACTTGCTGCAAAAATCAAGATGTCCAATCTTCCAAGGATATTAAAATGAAAAGTTCAAGGTTCTTTTGAAGAGTGCAAATAATGTCAAGTTGTCATTGTGAGGCTCTGTAATGAGGGCATGGAAAAATGAGAAATTATGGCATGTTTTTGCTTGTTTGTGTGTTGGTTTTGTTTTTCCCTGTGAAAATACAAGTGTTAGGAAAGTGACAGAATTTCAGCAAATTATCTTGGGTAACAAGCTGGGGCTTAGACTTAGAATCTGCTCCTGTTTCCCCATGTATGAGTAGAGGGGGTGTTGAACTAGGTCATCTCTGAGGCCATCTCAAGCCTGAGCACAGGTCTGGCTTTCCTACTATTGAAAACTTGGGAGCAGCCAAATCTGGTGTGCCTTACTTTATTAATAGTAGAGATAGGCTTTTCTTTCCTTCCTAGGAAACATAGTGGTTGCTTTTTAGCTTTATTGCATTGGTTGAATCCAAGTGTAATTTATGTGAGACACTAGCATCCCTATGACGTGGCCTTCTCAAAATTCTAGGTGGTAGGATGAGGGCTTGCTTTATGACTTTCCTTCCCTAGAATTACTCGGGAGGGTAATGATGCTGTTTCTCTCAGTATTTTCCATCGTGATTCGATGTACTTGACCCTTTTGAGCTGTTAACCTTGATGGGTCTTGTAGAGAAAATGCCTTAAGAATCCCCCGAAATTCCATTTAAATAAGGTCTATGCTTCTCATCTGCAAACTTGTGATACATTTTAAAGTTACCTTTGCTTGGTTTAGCGATGCCTTTGTGTATGTTTTTGCTGTTGCTTTGTGTCTTGGCCACTTAGTGAATCAACCTGTGCTCACTGATATGGACAGACAGTCAAGGGTTCAATTCAGGGCAGTAGAGAAATGGGCAACAGCAAAAAGAGCTTTTGAGCCAGAATACCTGGATTCTAATTCCTGGTTCTGTGAGACCTGTGCCCTTGGGGAGCCTACTTAAATTTTTGAGCTTCCTTTGACTTCTGTAGAAAGAAGTGGGTGATTCCTGTCTGACCTTCTGTGTGGGTAGTGGAAGGGTCAAGTGAAGTCATGAACATGGGTATAATTTTGAACTTTAGTGAAGTGACAACTGCAGATGTCCTTGCCTCTATGAGTATGTGCTGGTGTGCTTAACACCTAGCATAGCAGCCTGTTTCATAGACCAAGTCCATTTCAGAAGGATCCATTTCCTTCCTCACTCTGACTGCCTTACCTGCTTGGCTTCATGGAGGTCACCATTCCATCAAGATTTGAATGCTTGCTTTGTTTTGCTGATAGTGGTAACATGTTTTCTCTTCTTCTGTTTTTTAATTTGATTAGGAAATTTGTACATAGATTCCAGGCAAAATCTCCCTCCTTCGGTGATGCCGCCCCCTGGTTATCCTCATATCCCACAGGCGCTCAGCACTCCAGGAACTACGATGGCAGGTAGAGTGTGTGTACTACTACATTTGGGACCTAGAGTTAACACTGAAAAGCTTGAGCTGCATTGCAGTAAATGAAGCTACTTTGAGAAGGCATGAGCTCTCTTTTTACAGCCTGGGGTGCAGAGTATCTGAGGCTTTTTTGCTTTGACAGGACCTAATGCAGCTTTCAGAGGCCTGCTTTGACTAGCTTCTGTGGATTCTGTTCTATTGATTCCAGAGAAGTAATCCAACTATAGTTTCCAGGCTAAAGGTATAAGTTACAAGTAGCTAGGAGACTAGGGCATGCTATTAGAACTGGAAGGAACCCTAAAAATCTCCTAGATGAGGAATTGAGGTCGGGAGAGAAACTGCCCAGAACTCCAAGTCTAATGATGTCTGTCTGTCTCTGTCTCTGTCTCTGTCTCTGTCTCTGTCTCTGTCTCTCTCTCTCTCTCTCTCTCTCTCTCTCTCTCTCTCACACACACACACACACACACACACACACACACACACACACACAAATGATTTGTAGGCACCTCCATACTGTGGCTGGAGCTCAAGCCAGAAGCCAGATTGCCATTCTGCTTTGGCTTCAAATTAGCACCTGACATTCAGTGAGGGATTTATCCTTTTGTTAACTAAAGACATGTTGGCACTTGTGCTGCTACAGTGTGATACACTGAAAACCTTAGCATTTTGTAAAATCGTATGTTAAAGGATTCATGAGAAAAATAACGGATAGTTTTAAATTTTGTTTTTAAGAGTACAAACAACAGTAATATTCCAGTAAGAATTTTACAGCATTTCAAAGGATTATCTTAAGTTCTACCAATGGAAGGACTGCTGTTAGTAAATTCTGTTACATCCTAGTCTAACTGCAGTGGTGCACCAGTTACTTCTTTTTTTATTAAGAAAAATGTAGGTGTATGAATGTTTTGCCTGTGTACCACTTGAGTGTCTGTTGCCCAAGGAGGTGACAAGAGGGTGTCAGATCCAGTGGACTTGGAGTTGTAAGCCACCATGTAGTTGCTGGGAATAGAATGTGGGCCCTCTGAAAGAAGAGCCAGTGCTCTTAACAGCTGAGCATCTCTCCAGTCCTCTGCTGTCATTCTTGATTGATGTAGTTGAAACACATTAGAGCAGAGCAGACTAGTGAACTGACTGTCAGCGTTTCTCTCGTGCCTTCCTCACTGCAGGCTAATAAAACAGAAGACCTGGTTTTTGAAGTCAGGTAGACTGATTTGAAACCTTGTGTGTTTGGAGTCAGTCTGTATAGCCCAGCCTGGCCTTGAGTCTATGATCCTTCTCCCTGTCTCCTGAGTGTTGAGATTGCACGTGTGCATCATTATACCTGGAGTTTTGTTCATTTCTTTAAACCTGTTCTTACTAGAAAACGAGGACTGGAAAAACAACTTTGTTGAAGGCTTTTGATGGATTCCAGGCAGTGTCCCTATTCAGACCTGCTCTTTGGGGCTAGTTGGTCTCTTCCTGACTTCCCTCCCCAGGTCACTGCTGACCCTGCCTTCTTCTTTCCAGGCCATCACGGAGCCATGAACCAGCAGCACATGATGCCTTCCCAAGCCTTCCAGATGCGGCGCTCTTTGCCTCCAGACGATATCCAGGATGACTTTGATTGGGATTCAATAGTGTAGGCTTGTTTCTGCAAGACAGCGGACTCCAGCATCCTTTCTGTTGAGTGGACGGAAGGACTAGAGTCCAGTTGAGAAAACAAAGCGATGTTACCAGTGCTATCTAAATTCCTTTTGAAGACAATCAGAGATTCTAGCTGGGTAACTTACTGCTTTTATCTGACCCAAGCAAGAACACATGTTTGTCTCCCGCCAGTGCCCTCTGTAGCTCCTAACTGTTGTGATTTGGACAGCTTTTTGCATATTTGTGTCAGTTTGATGTTAACCACAAGTGCCAGACTGATTTTTCAGACAGAGCCTATTTTGCTGCAAGCAGTTTATAGATACATATGTGTAAATACGTGTACAAATATTACTGAAAGGCTTCAAGGTTTTTTTCTAATTGGATTATTGTGTCTTGACAAGAAAGTTACTGTCAGTTTTTATTCCTCTTTAGGCCGTTTACTGCAGGATGCTTTCAGATGATGTAGGGAGCTGAAAGGAAATTGGTCTTTCCAAAGCCCAGTTTCCTTTATTTGATATTCAGAAATAGGAGTAATCATGAATTCCAGCAAGTAAGTCAAGGAACCTGGAGCTGGTACTCCCCACAGTGCAGAGGGTCTGTTGTTCTTGAGCAGGCTTGTAACGCAGGGAGTTGTGGAGTGTGTGTTGTGTCTGTCAGTGTGTTTCCTCAACCGCATTTGGACAGCTCTGAAATGTGTGGACAGATTGAAGCTGGATATTGCTTGGCTCTTCAGACAAATCAATGTCTCCACATTCATTTAAGTATTTATTATTCAGAAGTGTTATTTTAATATTTATTGCTACTTTCTGTGAATGCACAGCTCTTTTGGGTTTACTAGGGAGAAACTTGTCTGAAAGCATGGATATTTTTTTTCCAGATAAAAGTTTACAGACAGAGACAATCAGAAACATTTGTCATTCTCTTTATCACCACTCCTTTTACCAAGTGAGTATGCTTCCTATCTTACTTAGCTGTCCTGCTGTTGGAGACTTAATAGCTACCTAGGAATTTCCTGGAATCTGAATCAGAGTCTGTTTAGGCAGCAGGATATGGAGGCAGGTTTATACAGCAGTGTCCTCGGTGTTTTAGGTAACGCTGTAGCTCCAGAGTCTGTCTGCTACGTGCTGGTGGGTCTGTGTGCCCGACAAGAAACACTTGGAGCTTTTATCAGTTGCTTGTTCGTGTTACATCACAGTTTGCATGGGTTGATTGTGTTGATTTTATAATGCAAGTAGAAAAAAGGAGATTCTCCTCCCCACAGTGAATAGATTTTTAATTGTTCTTTACAAAGAATCTGTTTTAATGAGGAAATAGTCTGTCAAATCAAGGAAAAATAACTGCTCACCAGTTGCTTGTTAGTGTCTCTGGGCTCAGCAAAGGTAAATCATGTAACTAAGCCTCAGCAAGTCTGTGGTTGAGTAATCTCTACTTGAAGAAAGGTTGTGTGTGTGTGTGTGTGTGTGTGTGTGTAAGAGAGAGAGATTGATCGATTTCTATCTGTGTACTCATGGAATGTTGCCTGGAATGAATCACTGAGAAGAAAGCAGAGCTTTGTGCATCTCTGTTGTTTGGGTCCCACTTGGCATGAAAAGGAAGCTCAGGTACAGCCCCTCAGATAAGTGAAAATCAGAGGATTCTCAAACAGCCGCCAACAGCCTCCCTTAGAAGGACCAGGCAAGGTGAGACAGATGGTTGCCTGCAGAAGACAGCATCGGAAGATGGGGTTCCCAGTAGTTTACCAAGTCTGTTTCCTCCAAACACCAAAACAGCTGCTCCGTGACTAGGACTGCTACTAGCAGTGTGCACTTTAAATAATTGGGTGTTGGAGTACTGCAGTCTTTGAAACAGACTGGCTTGGGTAGGACCGCTGATGATGATTTTACAAATTATGTGAAGCTAATATCCCATTTGGCAATTATTTACTGATTTGCAGTGATTGACATATTTATTAATATTTGAACTGACCAAGAATGGCACTTGAGACCAGACTCATCACTCTTCTGTGACCCCTGTTCCCCAGGGGCTCAGAGCAGGCCCCAGTGGGCTGTGGCCAGACAGGGCTACCTGGTGGGTGCAGAGTCCCTCTAGTGGCCATTTCTGTTGGTAATTGATGATACAGAGCAAGTTCTCTTAGGCTTAAATTGACTGGAGACTTCGGGGTAAAGACTAATAACTGTACGTAAACAGATGAGGTGCTCTGTCCAGGAGAAGAGTCCGACTGGCATTTGTGGTAGTGTTTGAAATGTAAATGTATTCTTGTGTGTTCCTGTAAATATTTAATACACGTCTCTCAAATGTCCTTTGAAGTGGGAGGGGATCGACCTTGGGATAATTTCAAATGGAATAGAGTATTTTGATATGTTCATCGAGAGGGTGATGTGTACATACCTATATTGTATAGATGTGGTGACATGCATTGGCTTTTGTGCAGAAACAACCTGCTCTCTGTGCTGCTGTTGGACAGTCAGTGTTTTAATGTTTCTACAGTTTTCCTATTGCACGATTTCATATTCTGCCGACGGTGAGTGGCACCCATTCTTTGTAACCGTTTAGTGCTGTAAAAAAATATTCCAAGTGTCATTAGGATCGTCGCTGCCAGAACTGATATGCATGGATGGCACTTAAAATAAATATATTATGATAACTGTATTTGCAGCCTGATGGTCTATGTCATTTGCTGCAATTGAAGGGCCAGATTAGAACCTGTGGCCAGGCCAGGAGCCCTTGCTGCCTTACACAGGGCTGAAAGTTGGTTAGTCTCTGTACTGCACTTTTCTGAGCAGACACTTGGGGGAAGCTCTCCAGAGAGAAACCCAGAGCTGAGGGGATCCCAGCCCTGCCTTTAATGAGTAGAACCAGGAGCAAAGCAGCAGCTGGCCCGGGAGGCCACTTGGAAGTTTCTCTGGCGAGGAGGAGAACAGTGGCATAGGGATGACCCTCCGAGAAGGCATGGCAGCTCAGCCTCCAGCAGGCCCCGGCCAGAGGTTAGCCTCCCTGACACTGGTGTTCGCATCCTGCCTCAGGGCTGGATTAGAGTGCAGATCGTGGGTTGAGGCGGGAGCAGGTTCAGAAAAGGCTCAGCAGTAGACTGGCAAGAGGAAGCCTGGAGAGCGGCACTTGGACGCGGATCTCCGTTCATCTGAGAGAGCAGAGCTTCCTACCACTCTGTAGTCTGTCCAAAGCTTCTAAGTTACCCTGCACACACTGCAGGAGCATCAGTGTCTTGTGTTTAGAGGTGGGAACAGGCTCAGAAAGGAGAGCCCGCCTCAGCTTTTACCTCTAGTTGTGGGTTTAGGATGGTTCTGTCTGGGGCAGACTCGAAGCTCTCTTCAACTCCACAGTTTGCCAAAGCCAAGGACAGTGACTACTCAACCATTTTGTGCGTGCGTGCGTGCGTGCGTGCGTGCGTGTGTGTACGTGTGTACACAGATCTCGTAAGAGGACAAGCCTGGGCCATGTTTCCATTGCAGGCAGGTTTTGGTCACCTAGTGTTGATTGGTGTGCAGCGAGGGTATACCTCATCTGCTCAGAGGAAGTGGAAATAGTCATTGTGCTGCATGTGTATTTCTCTCAGCTTTAACATGTAACTCTGAGGGTTGGTCTTTACATGTGACCCTTGCCAGCTGGGTAAAGCATCCTGGACAAACTATGGGAACTCAGTCAGTCTTCGTAGACTGGGTATTCAAAACTTCACACTGGTGAAGGCCTTAGAAAAGTGATTAATGATACCATCGTGTTTTGTTTTGTTTATTATTTCCTATGCATTGGTGTTTTGCCTGCATGTATATCTGTGTGAGGTCATATAGGTTCAGATCCCCTGGAATTGGAGTTCCAACAGTTGTGAGCTGTCATGTGCCTGCTGGGAATTGAGCCCAGCTGCTCTGGAAGAGAAGTAAGTACTCTCAACCGCTGAGCCATCTCTTCAGCCCCTCTCGTATTTTGTTGAGAGCATTTAGACCCAGTAAAGGAAGCAGCATGTTCCAAGTCACACAGCTACTTAGGGGAACTGAGGGAAAGAAGGATGGAGAGCCATTGACCTAGCAGCAGGTCAGATTTCCTATAAACGGGGGAGTGGATGGCTCGGGGGGCAAAGCCCCTTGCCCCCAGGATTGCTGATGAGTTCAGGAAGGAGAGAACCAACTTCTGCAAGTTGGCTTCTGACTGACTCCCCATGTACACCTCGTCTCTCTTGATCAACCGTAACCTGTTGGTGTGGTGTTGTGGCCCTGTTGTGTGAAGAGGAGACAGCTTTGGAGACGCGAGGGACGCTGCAGCTGCAGCGTGCTCTGGGGGAGCATGGAGACTTAAAGGTTAGCACTGTGTGAGATGGAATGTACGTGTGAGCAGAAATCCCACCATGAGTGTGCCTGTGGCTGGCGTGCTGTGCCGCGTGCACTGCCCTTGGGGGCAAGTCAGCAGCCTCTTCAGGAGTTGGGGATAGTCTGCAGCCAGGTAGAACAGGCAGCGTGTTGGCTTGCTGAGACAGGCCCTGTGTGGAGTAAATCAAGAGAGTTTTGAACTTCCTCCTGTGTTTCTCTCCCCCCATGCCCCCCCCATCTGATTAATTGACAAATCAACATGGGAAAAGCAGTTGGCTGCATGCAAACCAGATTCCAGCCCCCATAAGGGCAATTGCCAGATCCCAGCTCTTGAGCAATGTCCCAAACAGCATGGACCCCAGGAGTGCAGGATGGACAGGTGCTGTTTTTCCCAAATACCTGGAGTAGATCCCTGGGCCTGATTGTGGTATATCCACTATGAGGTTCTGGTGCTGACCTTTAATCCCAGCACTCAAGAGACAGAGGCAAGAGGGTCTCTGAGTTCGAGGCCAGCCAGGTCTACACAGCTAGTTCCAGAACAGCAGGGCCATGTAGAGAGACCTTGTCTCAAATTAATAAAGCATCGGAGACACAGAGATAATAACTAAACTCACCTGCCCAGGGTAACCCTGCTCTAAGTGGTAGAGCTGGTAATCATAGCAGCAGTAGAGCTGTTTTCAAAGCTACTCCAAGTAGCCTTGGACCTCTGTTCTCATCGGGTTGCTCTCTGTCCCGGGGCTTCCTAACTGCCTCTGAGTATTGAAGAACTTCAGAAAGGCAGGGCCGGAGAGGGAACTTAGTGGCTAAAAATGTAGTCTCTTGTGGGGGACCCTAGTTCCTTTCCCTGCACCTGTGTTGGGAGGGTTCAGTGGCTCACAACTACCTGTAATGCCAGCTTCAGGGGATCCAGTGTACTCATGCACAACAGACACATACACATAATTTTAAAATAATAAAAGTAGGTCCTTAAAATCATGGCGAGTGCCTGTAATCCCAGCACTCGTGAGGCAGGGGCATGGATCTCTGGTTTCGAGACCAGCCAGGATTGTTGCACAGAGAAACCCTGTCTAGAAAAACAAAAACAACAAAAATCATATAAAGCAAAGGCTGCACAGAATGCCTGTGACCACCAGGGGGCGGGACTGCCAGCCACTTGCCTGGTTTCCAGAAGGGTTCCTTCAACTCTGAGCTGTGGCAGCCCTCCCTGGCTGGGCCCCCTCCTCTTGCAGGGTAACTCCGCTGGCTGGAGAAGCCTGAGCCCTTGCAGTTCTCAGCCTAAGCTCCAAGTAGGGTTACTTCACAGCTGCCTTGGCTAGACTATAATGTCACCCCAAATCTTCTGCCCCTCCCCCCCAGGACCTGCTGATGGAAGGGCTGACATTCTTCCCACAGGCGCCACTCAGGCAGGTCCTTCCCCAGCCCTGCCTTTGAGCCTGCGTGGGCCTGGATGGTGCCCCGTGCACTGCTCTGTCAAGTGCGTAATGATTATTGCCGCCATTTGCCAGCTCCCTGCCCGGCACTTGACAGCCATTATCTGCCCCAGCACTCCCAGCCACCTCGTAAGGTCAGTGCCATTATCTGCCTTTTACTGCTGGGTATTGCCGCTCTGAGAGGTGAAGTGGTGGCCCAAAGGTCACTGCCAGTGTGAGGGGGAGGACAGAGCCCAGATCTGCCTCATTCTGGTCTGTGCTTTCCAGAGAGGCCAATTTCCTCTTCCACAACAGTCCCAGGTGCCCTTGACCTCCCTCTTCCCAGCCCACCCTACCCTAGAGCCTGCCCAGTTCCCTACTGAATGTCACCTCTTTGCCCTCAGGCCCCCCAAAAGGTCAGAGGGCAGCTTCCCATCCCAGACAAATAATAAAGCTGTCCAAGGACATTTTTCACCTTCCTGTCCCATCCCTGAGTGATGCTCAAAACGGCAGGAATGGCCCTGGTTCACTCAAGCATAGGTGTGTGAGGGTGTGTGTGTGTGTGTGTGTGTGTGTGTGTGTGTGTGTGTGTGTGTGTGTGTGTGAGAGAGAGAGAGACTGACTGACAGACCGACAGATAAACAGACACCATGATGGTTGGATGTCACTTGTGTAACCCGAGTGGCTGTAACTGATTTTATTTTCCATTGTGTGTGTGTGTTTTCAATTTGTATGTGTGGGCACACGTGTGGATACATGTTCATGTAGATGTGCATACTTGTGGAGGCCCCTGACTTGAGGTCAGGTCAGTGAAACAGGTTCTCAGTCAAACCCAGAGTTCACTGATAATGGCTAGTCTTGCTAGCCAGCTTGTCTGGGGGATTCCATCTCCACCTTCCAAGGCTTGCCAACCCACCCACCCAGCATTTAGGTGGGTTCTGGGGATCCAAACACCAGTTCTTAAGGTTGCTCAGCAGCTCGGAGGTAGAGGGACAGGCCAGGGGGGTGGGGAGCATCTTCTTAGGAGCATCTCTCTCCCAAGCTCCTGTATCCTAGGCAACGCTCACCTGGGATCAGGCTTCTTACCAGGTGCTGTTGGAGCTGGGCCCTGTGAGTCTCCTGTAGATACTTTTTCTCATCGCATGCCTGGCTTGTCCCTGCTGCCTCTCCCCTTTAGTGTTGCTTTGAGCTAGACAGCAGATGTAGACCTGCGCCTGCCCAGGCCACCTCATCCTAGCAGAAGCCGGTCCCTCACTTTTGGCCTGTAGTCCAGGGCCAAAAGTGCTGCAGACCTCAGGGCCCAGCACAACTGATGCTTAAGGCAACGGGGAGAATGTGAACTTTGGAGTCAGGCTCTAGGATTCTTTGTGAGCAAGACACCACCTTCCCTGAGCCTCGGTTTCCTCTTTTAACATGGGAACAAAACTCCTTACCTCAGAGTGGTGTTGAGAAGCTGGCTGGAAGACACATGGCCGCTGGGCATGACACATAGATCCAGAGGAACTTCCCTTCTTCCCTACTTCCCTCTGCTCTGACCAAGTTGCCAAAAATAGCTGGTCCCCTGCCCCCCACACCCTTGCCCGTACCTGCTGAGGTGGGATATTCCTTCCTTCCTGGATGCTTGCTCAGCAGTGGGCGCTCGCCATCTACCCCCAGCCCTCGACCGAAGCGTCTTTGTACACAGTGGCCCTGCCAAGGTCTTAAACTCTTCCTCACTGTCATCGGGCCAGTGCCCAAGCTCGGTGCTGTTTGAGCCTGGCTGTGCTCCAGCTCAGGCAGCTCTCCTCTCCTGGACGCCTCAGGGAACTGAGCCCAGAGCTTGCTTTCCTCTCACGGTTCCTAGCACGTTGCACAAGGAGTCCAGTGGAGTCTGTCCACGTCCTCTCTCAGCTTGGGTTTCTCCGTGTGTGTGTGTGTGTGTGTGTGTGTGTGTGTGTGTGTGTGTGTGTGTGTGTGTGTGTGTGTGTGTTGTGTGTGTGTGTGTGTGTGTGTGTGTGTAAGACACTCCTGAGGGTGCGCACTCTAGCTGAGTGAGTCTCTCCTTCCTGCCCTCCGAGGTATGAGGTTGTCTCAGCGAGATGCCTCCAGAAGGGGGAGGAGGAGGCAGCTGCTGTGTGTGAATGGGAGAATGGGAGCAGATGGTGAATGGGTGCCCATCCTCTCATCCGGGCCATCCACAGGGGGATGACTGGACTGGGCAAACAAGCAGACACACCCTCTCCACTCCCCAGCTGCCCCCTGAAGCATCAAGAGAAAGCGCCCACCAGCCTGGGGGAGGGGAGCTGGGCTTGGGCTCTGGCCAGGGCCTCCAGGCCCCACCAGCTGCCGCTTCCTGTGTGACCCGGAACCCTCTGATGATCCATGTGGGCGTCGCCGACTCGCGGGCCACTTGTCTTGCTTCCTTGGAAGGGGAAGTGTGTGTGCGGTGCCAGCAACCGTACAGGAGGCCCTGCATTGCGCCCAGGAGAAGAGCAGCAGCTTCTTTGGCGTTTGAGAAAATTGGATTCAGTTCTGGAATTTATGGCTATATGACCACAGTAGTCGCCAGGTCCACCCAGCAGTAAACCTGAAAAGTGGTGCCTTCCCCTGGCCTTCAGGGTGCCCAGAGTGTTTACACGTGTGCTCTTGGCCCTGTGCCTTCCTGCCGTGTGGTCCATACAGCTGTACCCAGCGGCCATGGATGCGTGTACCCTTGGCAAGTCGTGGTTTCTTAATCTCGCTGAGTTCTAGCTCACCACGCCACCCCTTAAAGTGGGATTATACAGTTGTTTCTTCCTCATCTCCACTTACTGCTAAAGCTGTTAGGAGGCTCACAGCCACTGGAATTCTCAGGCAGTTATGGCTTCCTATGGGTTCCCCATGGCAACCAGAGATTGCTACACCCTCGAAAGCACATTTACAAGCTTTGCAGGTTGGACCAAAATGTAGACCACACCTCTCTCAAGGTCACACAGAGCAGGCTGTTTCTGGGCCGTGTTTGGTTTAGGCCTGTGGGCTTACAGGCAGGAGTCCTGTGAGTGGTAAGTCTCTAGTGGACCTGACCTTAATGGTAATCACAATGAGGTCATCTAGACACAGCCTTTAAACCAAATGCGCTAGCCAAAAGGAATAGTGTCAGTCTACTTGGGAAGCCCAGGGTGCCCCCACATCTGGCAGAACCCCTCTCAACCTCTGGCAGTCGGGGTGAGGGCCAGTTGTGTTGGGAGTAGTGTCAGACTGATACCCAGAGTGCTCTGTCTGGATTCCCTCTAGACAGGGTGGCATCCACCGAATTCCAGGCCTTGCCGAGCGTTGGGCATACAGCGTATGCTGCTGGCCTTACGGAGTGTGATGGGAAGGCCTCCAAGAGTGCAGACAAGTGGTCTTTCCTCCGAGGTTCAGGGACCTCTGAAAAGTTGCTAGAAAACAAATCTGCAGTGGAACTGTCCTTATCACCATTCTGCAGCGCAGAAGCCGAGACTCTGGTCACGTGACTTTTAAAAGCTGAAGCTGGTATCGGATCTAGGGGCAGCCTAGCTCTAGGGCCCAAGCTCTGGCCTCCCCTCCCACTCCAGTGCAGTGCTTTGAGATCCTGGTTGGACGGCATACTCAGCGAGAGCTACATCACGACCTTGAGTGCCAGCCAGGCAGTCTGGCTTTCCTCTGAAGTTTGGGAGAGCAGCTGCTTGTCCCTAGATGGTGATGCAGCAGGTCCAGGAGGTGCTGTGGCTTGGAAAGCCATGGAAGTGTGCTGGCTTGCCAGAAGAGGTGGTCTGGGAGTATGGGAAGCCCAAACAAGAGTCGCGAAGTGACCGAAGAGAGGCATGCAGGGTGCTGAAGACAAGCTCCAGATTCAGGGTGCAAGCTTGGGACTCCAGGAGTACAACTGCGCTCCAACTTGAAGCAGCTTCAGTGCAGGCTGATGAGGTCATATGTTCCCTATAAAGGAGGCAGGGGACTGAACTCAGCCGGCCCCGGGTTGGGCAGGGGCAATAGTGGGAAAGGGAGAAGAGGAGGTTCCTGCTTCTTAGAAAAGTTCCTGGTGTTGAATAGGGCCAGACCCAAAGGGATAGGACCTAATAGCTACTTCCTCTTTCCCACAGTGTGGAACTGCGTCATCCCGACTGGCAGATAGAGCAGCTCCTGGGCAGAAGAGGCAGCAGGGGTGGAAGCCCCGTCCCCTCCCCCAATCGCAGCCACACCTTAGGAGGGAAGACAAGAGCTACCTTGAGGCAGAAAAGGGTTCCTCTAGCCCAGTCCCGCCCTAAAGCCAAATCAAATCCCAGTAGAGTCTACGTTCCCACGTCATCCCGGACCTAACCCAAATCGTAAACTCAGCCCCACCCTACCTCCATCCTCTCTGCAAACTCTACTCAATTGCAATGGTACAATTAATCCGAACCCAGTCCAGTGGTCTTAATGCTCATTAGTATCCACCACAAGCTCCGTCCTACCCGAGGAATCCACTTCCAAACCCAACCCTAACATCTCCACCCCCAAAGGCCAGCTCCAGCTCCGTCCTACCGAGGAATCCACTTCCAAACCCAACCCTAACATCTCCATCCCCAAAGGCCAGCTCCAGCTCCATCCTACCCAGGAATCCACTTCCAAACCCAACCCTAACATCTCCATCCCCAAAGGCCAGCTCCAGCTCTAACAGGAGCTCCCAAATGCTGACCTGACTGCCTAGTCTGAAGTTGGCCAGCTTACCACTGCCACCCCATGCACCTCTCAACAGTCCCCTGTCCTTTCTGCGCCACCACATCGTTCCTCCCGTTCACAGCATCAGTGACCTCACCTCTAACCTGCAGCTACATATCCCTGTTCCGCTGAACCCTTGCTAGACAGACCCTTGAGCACACCTAACACTCAGCAGAGGCCAGTGTGGACTGCACATGGACTGCACATGGACTTGTCTGCAGGCACACAGACACTGTTCCCCGAAGTACACACCCACACCCTCACATACATGTATAAACGTGGACGAATACACATACACACACTTTAGTGTGTATGCACACTCCTAGCATATACACACCTCCATGTTCACACACAGGCACCTCATTGCGCGCGCACACACACACACACACACACACACACACACACCACACACACATTCATCCTTAACATAATACTCTTTAGTGTACTCATGCATATAATCAAGCATGTACAAACACCTCAGTGTGTGTAATACTTAGGCATATGTAGGTACACATACCAGCACACTCAGTGCCCCTACACACAAATGTACACACACTCTTCAGTGCACACAGCACACCTTTGCATAAATCCCTTTCAGAATACCTACATACGTCCTTCAAAACACACCTCAACATAACTTATACACATCTCAGTATATGTACACATACTCCTTCAGTGTACACACACACACACACACACACACACACACACACCTCTACATACAGACAAGATACATCTCAGTGCATGCAGGCATTTGCACATGACCCCACAGTGTGTGTGTGTGTGTGTGTGTGTGTGTGTGTGTGTGTGTGTGTGTGTGTGTGGTGCTGGAATGAGACATAAGTCCAGTCTAGCGTAGGACAGCATTGCAGGACTAAAAGTTCCCTGCCCCTGCCCCTGCCCCTCCCCTGCCCCTGCATCTACCCCTGCCCCTGGGTTAGGCACTTTCTAGTTCCTTCTTCCCAGGCTCCTCTCCCCGAGGTCCTTCTTCAGTACTGACTCTCCCATTCAGGGATGCTGTCCCTCACCCTGGCTATGTGGGTATGCAGCCAGTGCAGTGGAGCAGCAGGAAGAAAAGGCCCTGGGACAGAGTTCTCTAGGGCCCTGGGGCTCATACACCCTAAGTCCTGCAGTGAACACACACACTGCATTAGGCATCTCCATCCCAACGGGCCTGATTGGAGGGGCCCAGATCGACACAGATCCTCTCAGCCACTGAGAGCAGGGTGGGGCAGGGAAGAGGGGCCATACCACCTGAGGACCTGCTGTAGCTAGACTAGGCAGCTGGCCATCAGAGGAGACAGTGGGGACCAGGAGCCGCAGCTGCTGCTGTTCAGCGAACAGCACCTTCATCCAGGGCCTCCCGTGTGCCAGGAACTAACTGCACAGAACACTTGAGTCCTCATAGACCCCCACCTAGCACTAGGGCATCTGCCAGCCAGGGAGGTATTCGCATTGGTCTGCCTAGAGAACCTGGTGGGACCATGAGACTTGGAGGGGAGACATCCGCCAGTGACTTGCTAACATCAAAACCAGGCAGGTGGTGGGATTTGAACGCACGTCTGAGAATGGCAGAGTTGAACCACAGAGACCAAGTCTGTGTTCCCAACCTCCCCTTTCTCCTTTCTCTGGGCTCACTCACTCTTCACATCCCCCTGAACATTCCAGGCCCGGCTCACCTCTCGCTCCTAACACAGCCTCTGTGGACAGAAGTACCCCATCCTCAGGCCTCTGCATTGGCTGGAGCTCCTTGGGGAGACCTCCTGTCCCTGATGGGAGATGCCGCTTCCAGACTCCCCACCCCCACGCTAATGGCCCTCTCTCTGTCGTCATTGTCGTCACAGTCACCTTGCTGGGCCTCTTTCTTCAAGGGCAGGGTGGGGTCTGCAGGGCCTGGCCCAGAGTAAATGCAAGAGCCCAGCCCAGCTGTGGGTCAAAGTAGTGCCCAGGGAAGGGCTGGGGCTCTGTTGATCTCTTATCTCCCAGGCTCCCTCGGCCTTATCTGATGAGGCTCAGCAGGCAGCTGATGAGGCTGACCAGGCCCCAGGGTTACTGAGTAACCCCGGCCTCTTTAAAAGTCCCACTGTTTACCTGGACACCCGGCACTGGCCAGTTCTCCACACTGCACGCTGCTGCCATGAATGCCTGCTGGCTCTCTCTGCTGTGCCTCCTGGGTGCCTTGGCTCTCCTGGTAGAGGGGGTCACTGTGCAGGTATGGCCCCATCCCTACTTGGTCTGGCCCTTCCTTGGAATCCTGAAACGAGGGATGGGTTTCCTCTGGGACCCTCGAGTCCTATTAGCCATGCAATTTTCTCCCTTCAAACGTGGAGGAGAAAACACTCACAGAGACAGCAAGAAATAACCGCTGGGATAGACAGTGGCAGAGTGCCTGGAGTCTGGCTGCTCCCACGTCCCACTGCAAACCCGGCAGCACCAGGAAGGAGGGGTTGTTGGTGGCATTTAACAGAACAGAAATGTGAGCTTCACAAAGGTCCCAAAACAGCCAAAGCCAGCGGCTAGGAAGGGAGGTGGCTGGACTCCTATCTAGGCCTGGTTCCTCTGTCTTGCACTTGCCTGGAGTACCAGGCTTGGTCCCAGGCTTCGACTGCACATCATGAAGACCTAGATGATTGGGCAGACCTACTGGTGACACCAGACGCAAGCTGGGTTGTCAGCAAATGGGTCCTCCTCGCTCAGGGAGACCTCTGGAAGCCTTTCATTGCTTCTTGAGGTAGAGGCCCTCTGGCAAGAGAAGACAGCCTGGGCTAGCTTGCTCACAGTGAGGTCAGCCACAGCATCCCTGGCTCTCCACAGCTGCTTCCCTATTCCTCACATGGTCGTGTGTGCAGAAGTTCAGGCCTCTTGCAAGCCCAGGGACACAGAGGTCTGACCTCATGCTGCCCCACAGATCGTCCCAAGTAAGCCACCCAGGCTGGCGTCTCCTGCAGCCTGGCCTCATGCTCTGGCTGTCTCTTTCAGGATGGAGACCTGTCCTTTCCTCTAGAGTCAGTGAAACAGCTGAAGGACCTCCAGGAGGCACCGGAGCCCCTGCTGGTGAATCACAAGAAGTTTGCTCCCAGGCTTGCTGCGCCTTTGGCACCACGAATATGTAGCCATTCTGCATTTCCAGAAGCACTGAAGCCCCTCTGCAAGAAACCCAACGCGGAGGAGATCCTGAAGAAGCTGCGTGAGTGGCCTCTTCCCTAATGTGGCTGGGGTGTGCTCTGATTGGCGGTGCTTGAGGAGGAGATGTGCTCTGATTGGTTGGTCCTAATTGGTACCGGCTGAAGCCTCTTAGAAAGGCCTTCATTCCGAAGCACGGGATAAAAGGAACCCGTATCCCATCTGATCATAACTCCATCTTCTTTCTGGGTAGAAGCTGCACTTATTGGCAGGTCTCAGTAATTCATATGCCCCGTGTGAGGCAGAAAGCCCCGAGGGTCAGAGGAGACAGGCCTGATGGGGTTATCTTGGTGGCTGGTGACAGATGTCCAAAATCTAGTTGAAGAGAGGTTGGGGCAAGGTGGAAAGGGTGGCTGCCTCTCACCAGGCTCCTTCTCTCTTGACCAGAGGCCATTGCTCACGACCCAAACACATGTGAGATCTGTGCCTACGCCGCTTGCACTGGATGCTAGGACGACACCGTCGGTCTTCTCAGCCTGCACGGAAGCCCCTTCTACCTCTGGAAGCAGGCGTGCTGACCAGCTCCCGCCCCCAGCATCTCACCCTACCTTGCCCAGGGCAGGGAGGAGGCTGGGGAGACAGTCACCTGGAGAAGTCCTCCCTGGGGGCTGTGCTAACCCTCAGCCAATAAACGAGACTCCGGTACTCCGTGCATTTCGCCTTCATTTCTTCCCTCCACGTCAGTCTAGCAGTCCTGCAGCGCTGTGGACACTCACCTGCCCTCAGAAAGTTGGGGTTCAGTATGCAAAGTAGAAGGCTCCACTTCCTTGCTGAGTTCTTCCACCACACAATGATACAGGGGGACCACCCAAGAGGGTGAAATCTTGACTTTTCTTACATATCCCCTGCGGTCGCCAAGCCGCTAAGTCATGTGTGAGGACAGGAATCTGAGCTGGTTTGGGTGTCCCACAGTCATGGGCGTTTGACCCACCACTCAGGATCTGGCTCCCTCTGACCAACGCTGCTGCCTTCTGCCCCTCCTATGATCCCGTTCGCGGCGGCACCTCCAGCCCTCTTCCTGCCCGCCTGGTTGGGTTACCAGTCCAGGTTCCGTGGCTGCTTCCCCCGTGGCCTTTCCTGGTCCTCCCCAAGAAGAATGCTTATGTCCTGTGATCATCTGTACCTCCTGCACAGCTCAGACCGCCCTGCTGATGACTTTTGTGCATGAGGAAGTTTTTCCACCCTCACTTGGGGTTCACTCTACCCCCAGTGATGATTGTTGAAAGAATAACAGTGTGGGAGGAAAATCCAGGACTCCGCGGGTCCCAGCCTCTGGTCTTCTACATCCTGTGTGATGTTAGGGAGACCACTTCCCTTCTCTGTGCTTTGGTTTCCTTCTCTGTAACAATATCTAGCTTTAGACTCTGCAGTGATGCATTTCAAGCTCCCACTTCAGGCCTGATAGAAACCTAAGAGGCATTCTTTAAATAGTTTTTAAAGAAAGCAAACAAATAAACAAACAAGAAAGCAAAGTCAAGGGTCAGGCTGAGAACGTTTAAGCAGGAGACGACACAGCACAGGAGCCATACAGTTAGCAAGGATATGGGGGACAGAGAAAGGAGGCCATTGGGATCTGTTCTAGGGGAGTGTGAGGGGGGAATTACTATGGGGGTGGGGGTTGGGGGGGTGCTGTGGTGCTTCAGACAGGCTTCCTTCCCGTGGTCTGGAATTCAGAGGGTACCCAGGAGGCTTTGCGAGGAGGAGGGTCTTTTCATTGTCCTGGGATCTGCAGTGGATTTCAAAACCAATACGAAGTAGGGAAGAAGAGAAACTTCCAGAAGGTAGGGATGGTGGGAAGACATAAAGGCACTGGGATGGTTCAGTCTACACAGTGTGGAGCTGGGGAGGCAAGCAGGACAGTGCTTCTGCCTGACTCTGAGGCTGGCCTGCCTTGTGTACAAACAGGGTTGGTAACAGATTCCTCTCAGGGTTACTGAAGGATTTGACAGACTGTATGGTGGATAGAGTCATTTAATGCTTCAACATCGGAGCCAGACTCAATGAGCATGACTTTGGGCAATAAGACTTGTTATGCCCAGGTCGTGAGGACCCCCAAAAGACCACCACAGAGACCGAATCCCATATGTAAAAGCAAAGAGCCTTGATTTTCAAGCTCTGGGCCTTGGTCTCTGTCTATCTGACACAGCGGTAAGAGCAGAGAACCCTGAGCCCAGGCGGGGTAGAGCTTTTATCATAGCAGAGGTTGGGGTGAGGGGATTTCCAGGGTTCAGGACTGATTGGCTGACATTTGTCTAGGGATGTCTGTAAAACAAAAATAGGTGTGTGCTAGACTCAGGGACATCTGGCCACCTTATCTAATGGTTGGAATGTTTGGGATGTCAGGTACTTTCCCTTAGACGTAGGCCCTCCCTGGGTGGGGTCAGCGTATGGCTTTTCCTGGGTCTGGGTGTTGCCTGCCAGTAAGCCTGTCACAGAAGCTGTGTCTGGGCCTCTAAGCCTATCATGGCAGCTGTGTGGTCAAGCTGTTTTGGGGCCCCTCCACAAGACTCAGTTTCCCTGGCTGCAAAATGGAGATCTCGGGAGGTGGAGGCAAAGGATTAGGAATTTAGTCGTCCTCAGCTCCTAGCCTGAAACCCTGTCTCACAAACAAAGAAATGTGAGATGAAAGTTCTACTTTGTAGAGATGAGTGACGATTAAATACTGAAAGAGTTCCTTTAAAAAATTCAGATTTATTTAAATTTTAATGTGTACTAGTGTTTTGCCTCTGTATATGTATGTGAATTACATACATGCCTGGTGCCCTTGGAGGCCAGAGGAGGGTGTTGATGCCCTAAATGTGACTGAATCAGGGGTCCACTGTAGGAGCAACAAGTGCTCTTAACACTGAACCATTTCTCCAGCACCCTGAAAAAGTTCTTAAAGCTCCACGACCCCCATAGCAATCAACGGGTTAAGGCAAAAATTAGAAGCAAAGCTGACGTCCAGCTTTCCACATAAAAAAATGAAAGCACAGCATGCCAATGCTGGTGGACACGGGCAGCTCAGGAGCACATTTGCAGCAACAAGGGCATGTGTGGACAAGAGCATTTCAAGTTAAAAGCCTGACGTCACACTCAGGGAGTGGAAAAAAGAACAAACTATGCCCAAACTTTGTAGAAGGAAATAATAAAGATCAGTGCAGAAATAAAAGAAATAACAACAATAAAACCAAAAGGTGGGCTGATGCCCTTTTCTGGCTTCCACAAGGTACTTTGACACATGTGATAAATAGACATATACATACAGACAATACCCCCCACACACACACACAAAAATCAAAATAAATAATAAATAACAAAATAAGGTAAAAGCCAGAGGGGCATCCTTGTCTTTTCCCTGATCTTAGAAGGGAAGTTTTATGTTATTTATTCCAGTCACGATTTTTTTTTTGTTTTAGATTTATTTATTTATTCATTTCATGCCTATGCGAGTATCTGCATGAGTTTATGTGCATCACTTGAGTGTGGGTGTGCCACCGCGTGGGTGCTGGGAGTCCAACCCAGGTCCTCTAGAAGGGCAGCCATGTCCCATCTCTGCTCCCCATGCTACTTTTCTTTGACATGGCACTGGAGGTTCTAATAAGAACAATTCGACAAGAAAACAGAAGCACTGAACTCAGCAAGTAAGAAATACAATTATCTGTTTGCTGATGACACAATCATATACAAAGTTCCAAGGAGCTCACCTAAAAAACCTCATTGTAAGCCAGGCGGTGGTGGCGTATGCGTTTAATCCCAGCACTCGGGAGGCAGAGGCAGGCGGATCTCTGTGAGTTCGAGGCCAGCCTGGGCTACCAAGTGAGCTCCAGGAAAAAGTGCAAAGCTACACAGAGAAACCCTGTCTCAAAAAGCCAAACAACAAAACAACAATAAAAACTCATTGTAACTAACCGACAATCCAGGAAAGCTTCAGGCTACAGAATTTACATTACAAAAGTCAGTATCCTGTCTCTACACTAACAAGAAGCTCCCCAGAACACATAGTCAAGGAAATTCCTTTCACAATAGGAACGACAATTAACAATGGTAACTCTGAAACAATTTAAGGTAGGAAGTGAAGGAACTATATACTAAAAAATTTAAAAAAATTTAATGAAAGGAATTGAAAGGCATCTCCTTTATTCATGGATTAGAAAAATAATCTAGAATGTCCACAGTACCCAATGTTCAATTCAATACAACTCTAATCAAAGCTTCAAAGATGTTTTTTACAGAAATAGAAAAAAAAATCTTAAAATTCATATGAATATGAATTCACACAAGACTTGAATATCCAAAGAAATCTTTTGTTTTTGTTTTTGTTTTTAATTTTTGAGACAAGTTTCACATAGCTCAGGCTGGCCTAGAACTAATTACTGGGTGATGATGACCTTGACCTTAGGATCCTCCTGTTGGGTGTGAGCCACTAAGCCCAGTTTATGTGATGGTGGGTGGGGAACCTAGGGCCCTGTGTGTGCATTCTACCAACAGGCCGTACCCCAGTCCTAACCAAAGCAAGCTTAAGCAAAATGAACAAAGCCCAGGCTCATCATACTGTAAGAGTTTAAATGAGAAATGTCCCCCATAGTCTTGGGCATTTGGAAAGACTTAGGCGATGTGGCTTTGCTGGAGGAAGTCACTGGGGGAGGACGCTGAGGACTTATGCCTACTGTAGTTTGCATTCTCTGGTTATGGTAGAGGATGTGAGCTCTCGGCATCCTGCTCCAGTGCCATGCCGCCCACCTTCTGCTGCTCCTCCCCATCATGAAAGACTCTGACCCCTCAGGAATTTTAAACTGGAAAACTTTCTTCTGTTTTGGTCATGGTGTTTCGTCACCGTAAGGGAAATGTAACTAGTATGCATACTGTCTTAACTCAGAGTCTACCCCAAAGTTATGGGAGTCAAAACAACATGGCACTCACAAGAAACAAAGGGGGAAAAAAAGCAGACAGAAGCCAAAGGAACACATACTACCAGGAAAGAAAAGCCACCATCAGTTTACCCAGCCAGGAGCCCTGTGAGCTGTGAGCCCTGTGAGCTGCTGGCGCAACAGTGGTGTGCATGTTAGGGGAACACCCAACCTCTTTCTGCTCAGATTTAAAGCCCGCTCCATAAGATGGAACCCATGCCTGGTATGGACCCCAAACTTCATAGCTGACTAGGTCATAGGCCACAGGGGCATAACCTGATACTATTTCCCTGCTAGATGGAAATAGTAATAAACTGCCCTTGAAGTTCTTATCTTTTTTTTTTAAGATTTATTTATTTATTATGTATACAGTGTTCTGCCTGCATATCAGATCTCGTTACAGATGGTTGTGGGCCACCATGTGGGTGCTGGGAATTGAACTCAGGACCTCTAGAAGAGCAGCCAGTGCTCTTAACCGCTGCGCCATCTCTCCAGCCCAAAGTTCTTATCTTTATACCCATAGATAAGTGCGTCTCTCAGCCCTCATAAGAGAAACTTCTTTTTCAGTAGATGGTGGTTAATACAGAGACCAATAACCAGTCATTGTGCAGAGAATTAGAGACTATAAAGTGCACAGCAGCTGGGACCGTATGCACATGCCTGCCCAAGAGCAAGTCAGCCCAGATCTCAGCATGGACTGGGGAGGGGCGCATGAAGTCCCACCCCTAGCTGAGGATCTGTTGGCAGCTGGTGGCT